ATTATTGTCGGGGAGGGTCAAAATTGGGTGTCAACAATTATATTATTAATTTGGGATGAAAGTAGTATATATTAAACAATATATTTATAAAACTATTATATTACATTTAAAAAGAAGTATGAATATTTGATATTTAATTAATGACATTATATGTAAAATAATATGTTAATTAGAAATAGAAATAATAATAAAATATTCAAAAAGTAAAATAGAGAGTGTGAATAGAACTACTATTCAACTTTCTAAATATGAAGAATAGAGAGTGATATAGAGATGGATTGGAGTGTCAATTCTCTATTTTACTTTCCAAATATAAAAAATAAAGTGCTAAATAAAAGTGAGTTGGAGATGTTTAATAATTTAAAGATACGTACTTGTCCCAATAAAGAACGGTGGGTCTTTAATTGCTTTAGAAAGGTCAAAAAAATATGTCTTACACCACACATTAGTAAAAAAGTTCAATGAAACGCCATTTGGTGTGGAATTCAATGCAGGCGCCACAGTAGGAAGGAGCGGCAGGAACCTCACAACTTCCTTATTCATTCATTCACACTAGTGATTCCATATTGGGTAGAAAAAAATGCAGTTCTTCAAGGGACTCACAATTAGGAAGAAACAATCATCATCCTCAGCCTCTGCAGAAAGGTGGAAGAAAGAACAGAATTATTATTTACAGAACGGAAGTGCAGTGCTAGAGGAGTTGCTTGCTTTATGCGACGGAAATTGCAGAATTCCCATCCGCTACTTCACTGCCACTGAGATCGAGAATGCAATTAAGCACTCTGAAAACAAAATGGAACACTACTCCGAAGTGGGTATAGTTACGGGCTCCTTGGACAACCGCCTTGTTTTAGTTAGGTTCAATAGATCATGTCAACTGAATATCTACCGAGATATAGCAATTACTGCTCAGATGAGTCATCTCAAGAATGTGTTGAGACTTGTAGGTTGTTGTCTAGAATTTGAAGAACCAGTTATGGTGTATGAATATGTTGAGGCTATAACTCTCAGCGATCTACTTTACAAAAAGGGTGATCATAAGACTAGAGAAGCATTATCTTGGGTAAAGAGATTACGAATTGCCAATGAAGTCGCCTCAGCAATCGTTTTTCTCCATACAGGATTTACTACGCCCATCATCCACAGAGATATAAAGCCTCACAAAGTGATAATAGATCAGAACAGCGGTGTTGCCAAAATAGTGGACTTCTCATTGTCCATATCATTACCTCCAGGGGAATTGGAGGTACAAGATGCGGAACATTTTGGTATTTAGATCCAGAATATGCCTCCCTGGGTAATGTTACTCAAAAAACTGACGTCTATAGCTTTGGGGTTCTTCTCTTACAGCTATTAACTGGAAATAAGTCTCTTGATAGTATGCAATCCAATATTGAAGAGGCTAATGCCATGGATAGAGTGGATTCTACAACTTATCCAAATCCACCAATCATGGTTGAGCACTACATTAAACAGAGAGATGCAATAGATATATCAGATCCTACCTTATTGGAACAACACGTCATTGAGATTCGACAACAATTGGAAGACTACTTGGGTCTTGTTAAGAGATGCATATCATCAAAGGGTGAAGATAGACCATACATGATTCATGTTGCAAGGGAATTACGCCGAATTGAGAATTGCTTTCGTGCCCTTACCATTGGTCAAAATTAAATGTCTGTTTTAATACATGAGGTACGTGTATGTACCGTAATATTTATGTTGAACAACAAATGATCTGCAGACAATTAGTTTTTAGTGCCTCGAAAATGTTTCTATTTGGATCTGCAGACAATTAGTTTTTGCTAAGATGCTCACGTAGTTATAGTTGTGAGTTTGCAATTACTACTCAGAAGCCACAACTCTAATCCCAGCGTTTATGCAGCTACTATATAGATAGTGATTACTACTGGAAAGGCACATAATCAAATAGCATCTTTCAGGCATCACAAAATTTAACAGAAAAGCAGTGTGAATTTCTCTTGATTCCTAGGAGAAACTACTTTGTTATCACAAGCATACAATCTCAAGTTAGTTCACAGCAACAACGATTCACCATAGTAACCCATCATCAGCTGGAAAAGCAGAAGTACTTTTTATAAGAAGATGAGGAAAAAAATAGAATTCAAGTTAAAGTAAAAGACGGGCACATTATATAGCACAATCTTTAGCATCTATACAAACTACAAAGCACCCTTGACACCAAGAGAAGTACATCTTTTAAGTTAAAATTCATAAAGAGAATGATAATCTTGGGAAAAAATTAATTAGTACTTACATCTTTTGGTTTTAAAAAATCCATTGATTTAAGTTAAAACTAGTTGCAAGTCAAACAGACCTACCTCACTACAGTTAACTGAGTCAACTCTTTGACATAAATCTGGGAGACTCTTGTTCTTGACTGTATTCGTAAGTTGGACCCTTATACTTATGACTTTACCAAATGGACCCTTAGACCATCTCCAACTCAACACCAAATTTTACACCAAATCCTAAATTTGGTGTTTTGAGCTCCAACCCACACCAATTTTTACACCAAATTTGGTGTGTGAATAGTGGTACACCAATTCACTTTTTGAATATTTTAATATTATTTCATTATACAAACTTTTAATTAAACATTATATAAATTGTATGTTTTAATTAAATCTCTTGTATATTTAATTATTTTTTATGTAATATTTTTATAATATTAATTTTAGATATAAAATTTAGTTTTTTTATAAATTAATTTTTCTGTATATGACTTTTTTTAAAATTAAATTTATGTTAATTCTACTATAAATTATAATTGGATATAACTACAATTAACCTTCACAAAAATTAAAAATGCAAACATATAAATTTTTAAACAAATAATACAATGTACTTAAAAATAACCAAAAATAATAAACATTCAACAAAGTAGTAATTGGCATTCACCATGAATTATATATGGTGAATGTTTTAGAAAGAATTTGTTTTATGAAATAAGAAATAATAATATAATAATGAAGAGAGAAAAATATATTCCTTTTTAGTGTAAAATTTGGTGTAGTGAGTTGGAGTTGATTACACCAAAAATAGTGCTAAAATTTGGTGTTTGGGTTGGAGATGCCCTTATACTCATTCAAACACAATATTTTAAACTCATTTCTCATATGATATATGTACGTGTAATACACTCATTTTACAAATGAAATACCACGTCATTTTTTAATGACACATTATTATTATTATTTTTCCAATGACATATCAAAAATTAAATTTTAAAAATAAATAATATTAAAAAATAAAAACTGCAATTTTATCTCTCTTTCCCCCCTTTCTACTTTATCTTCTTAATTGCCACCGAGTCACCGACCCCTACGCCTCACCCCAAAATTTAAAAAATCATTATTTTCATCTTTCTTCACAGTTCATACTCAAAAGTTTTCTCAATCATAAAATATGATAGATTGTAATTAGCTCTTGCACATGCTTTAGGTTCTATTTATTTTGATTTGATAAAAGAAATCAAGAAAACTTCAAGTTGGGAAAAATATATTTATGAGTAAATTCAAGCAATAGATCTTAAATTTATGAAAATGGTGAATGGTATGTTTTCTTGCAAAAACTATTTTTTATTTTATATTTGATGATTATGGTGATGGGTGTACGTCAAATAAGAAGAATAGAAAAGGGGTAGGGGCGGGGGGAGAGAAGGGGTGAGGGTGGGTTGAAGAAGAATGGTTTTGAGATTTCTTTTTTATTTTTTTTAAATTTATTATTATTATTATTTTGATAATTTTTAAATAAATATATTGCATTCACTTGCTTTAAAACGCGTGTGGTCACACATTTATTCAATTCAACCATTTAATGTCATAAGTTCGGTCAATGATTCGAGGGGTTTAAAAAATAAAGTTTCATCGAGTTTAAGGGTTCATTTGACAAAATAATAAGTAGAAGGGTTCAACTGACAAACGAAGCTAAATACAGAGACCTCTCAGGTCATTCCGCCTTTAAAAAATAATTAAACTAAGCCAATTCAACGAATAGTGAAAAGATGAGGTAGAGTTTTGGCACAGAGAATGGTAAGTCTTAATTGGAAAGTGGCCTACATCATTCCATTTGTCAATCAAAGAAATATCTTACACCACATATATATTTTCTTCTTTTATTTCTATTTTTTACTTATTTTTGAAATAGATTTTCATTTTTACTTATCACTTTTGACATATCAAAAAAAGATAATTACATTTTTTCATATTTTATCCTCAACATTAAATACTCTTTCTCTAAATCATTTTGTCAAACTTAATACTCTACATTATTTAATATGATAATTATATAAATAATTAGTTTTTAATGAATATATCAAGTCAAACTGCACCAATAAAAGTGAACAAAGGAGTAGTAAAAGAATTCAATGACTTGTCATTTCTTTTTTTTTGTGGAATTCAATGCACGCGCCCAAAGTACGAAAGAGCAGAAGGAGCCAGGAACCTCACAATTTCCTACCCCTTCATTCCCATTAGTGGACACTGGACAGTACTAGAGATATCAAGTGTGTTACAGATAATAGAAACTTCAAAATTAGCGCAAGCTATTGGGTAAAAAAAATGCAGTTCTTCAGGAGACTCACAATTAGGAAGAAACAATCATCATCCGAAGAATGGCGGAAGAAGGAGCATGATTATTATTTACAGAATGGAAGTGCAGTGCTAGAGGAGCTTCTTGCTTTATGCAACGGAAATTGCCGAATTCCCATCCGTTACTTCACTGCCACTGAGATCCACAATGCAATTAGGCACTCTAAAAACAAATTGGAGATTTTCGATGGACGTATGGTTGCAGGATCGATGGACAAACGCCTCGTTTTCGTTAGGTTTTTCCCTCATTATTTTAGGAATTTCTTCAATATTTTTCGAGATATAGCAATTACTGCTCAAATGAGCCATCTCAAGAATGTGCTGAGACTTGTCGGTTGCTCTGTCGAATTGGAAAAACCAGTTATGGTGTATGAATATGTTGAGGCTATAAGTCTTCACACTTTACTTTTCGAAAAGGGCAATCATGATGATCAAACCAGAAAATCATTATTTTCTTGGGGAAATAGATTACGAATTGCCAATCAGGTCGCTTCTTCAATCGTCTTTCTCCATACAGAATTTACAACGCCTATCATCTACAAAGATCTGAAGCCATCGAATGTGATAATAGATCAGAATAGTGGTGTTGCCAAACTACTAAACTTCTCATTATCCGTATCATTGCCTCCAGGAGAATTGCAA